TTCACCGTTTTCGGCCTCCAGGGGCCCTTGCAGGGCCGGGGGACCGCCAAAGAACGGCTCGCGATGAGAAGCTGGTCCTGGGGAAGTGGTCGGGATGTCCAGGGACCCCGTCTCGACAATTATCCTGCATATGCAGTTGTGAGTAACGCAATTGTTGGTATCGTCTTCGGTGGAGTTCCCCATGGGCCCACGAAACGTGTGATGGGTGTGCCGAAATGGGTGTGGTGGTGTCATGCGAGCGCAGCCACTGGGGCCTGCGGTGGAGCACCCTATGGGGCCCTTCACCCTATGGGGCCACGAAACGTGCGAGGGGTGTGCCGAAATATGCGCGGCGGTGCCATGCGAGCGCAGCCACTGGGGCCTTCGGTGGAGCTCCCTACGGTGCCACGAAACGCGTGAGAGGTGTGCCGAAATTGGTGCAGCGGTGCCATGCGAGCGCAGCCACTGGGGCCTTCGGTGGAGCTCCCTACGGTGCCACGAAACGTGTGAGGGGTGTGCCGAAATGAGTGCGGCAGTGCTATGCGAGCGCAGCCACTGGGGCCTTCGGTGGAGCTCCCTACGGGGCCACGAAACGCGTGAGAGGTGTGCCGAAATTGGTGCAGCGGTGCCATGCGAGCGCAGCCACTGGGGCCTTCGGTGGAGCTCCCCATGGGGCCACGAAACGTGTGAGGGGTGTGCCAAAGTGGGGAAGCAGAGGAGGAGGGGGAGGATGGGAGAAGGGAGGGGGCAGCGGGAGGAGTGAGACGCGGGGCGCTGTCTCTTCAAAAGGAGGACCCAACACCACAGGACGGTTGGGAAAAATCCCTGCCTCAGATCTCTGGGTCCCCTGAGATCTGGGCCTGGCGGTTTTTTCGCAGCGGGCGTTGTCGGTCAGCTTCGGGCCCCGGGGCCACCACAGGCCGATCCGGCTCGCAAGATGCCGCAGAAGAAAGTGTTTGGAGCTCCATTCCATAATCTCCATGCTTCCACTCAGGATGGGGCACACTGGACGGCCCATGCCAGCCACTTGCATCCCCGTCAAGAAAGTGTTGCCGCGCATGTCTTCGCATAAAAGATGGGGAGCCAATCAAATTGAGGTCCCGAGTGAGGCGAAGAGAGGCTTCAAACACATTGAGTGCAACCTATAGCCCTCACGCACGTTCTGCTGTACACTCTTGGCGGTCGTGGGCATGACACGGCAACGTTTGGCCGCTGCGCCTTGGCCTCAAGATTCCAATGCTGAAGACATGTAGCTCAAGGCTGTGCACTGCTACTTCGCGGATACAAGCCCCAACGGCCCAAACGGACCAAACGACAGGAGTCCCTTCACCAGGTGTTTCAAACTTCAACCTGGCGGTCGACCCTGTCCTAAAATCGAACGCTCATTGAAATGCGGCTTCAAATGCCACGCGGTTGTCCACTGAGCGCAGCACGCCCGATCGGCGTGGCCTGCACAGCTTGGGAAGACGAGCGGCACAGCGGCCTCGTGAACTCCTCCAGGCATCGCTGGAGCACACGCCCACGCTTAAGTCGGGCCTGTCCCCCTACAGGGGGATTTTCGACAAAAAATTAAAAATACCCCCCCCCCACAAAAAAAAAACACATAAATAGTCTGGGGACTATTTGGGGGGTATTTTTTGACCATTTTGGTGCATTTGCAGGGTATCTTCTATTTTTCGTCGAGGATCCCCCTGTGGGGGGACAGGACGTAAGTCCGCGCCCGTGCCCCCGCCGCGGACGGAGTGCCAGCACGACCCTGCTGGCGCGCCACCACCTGCAGCAGGCGGCGTGCGGGCTCTGCGGCTCTGCGCCTGGCCCCGTGTCGACCTCCCCTCCTCCCCGGCCAGGTAGAGGAGGAGGAGGAGGAGGAGGAGGAGGAGGAGGAGGAGGAGGAGGAGGAGGAGGCGGGGGAGGGGGAGGGCAAGCTAGGTGCGCTCGCGTCATATCTGACATCCTACCCCTCCCTCCCATCCCTTACCATGGCGCAGGCCCCCTCTCTACTCGCTCAGTCGGATGTCGAGCAGGGCAATGATGGGTGCGCGATGCATTGTAGAGCACGGCATGGCATGGCGTAGAAGAGCACCGCAAAGCGTAGCATCAACCTAGCATTGCAGTGCATGCCGTGGCATGGCACGGGAAATGACGCCAGCGCTGCAGCGGGAGCAGGAGTCGAAACGAGCGGAAGCGCGGAAATGAGGCCAGCGGCTGCAGCGGGAAGCACGATTCGGAACGAGCGTGAAGGCACGGAAATGAGGCAGCGCTGCAGCGGGAGCACGATTCGGAAGCGGCGGGGCCCGAAAATGAGGGCCGGCGCCTCAGCGAGAGCCGCATTTTTAAAAAAAAGCGAGCCGAAAAACCCACTCCGGGGAAACCTGGCGTGTAAAAAAAAAATACGCGGGGGGGTCGGACACTCGCCAAGGCCGTCATCAGGGGAGAGGGAGAGTATATTCATATTGATCATTGTGGAGGAGGGGGGAGCGGGAGGGGGAGGGGAGGAGGGAGGAGGAGGAGGACCCTGCTCGAGAAGCCGAGCCCCGCAGGCGCGAAGGCGCGCGCTCAGAGACGCGGGCGTGCCGCTCTCTGTGCCTCCTTGGCCAGACGCCGGAAGGAGTGCAGCACTGGCTCCGTGAGGCCGCTCGGCAGCTCCGCGCCCCCGCGCACGAGGCGGAGCGCCGCCTGGAAGGCCAGTGACCGGTCGGGAGCCGCGGACATGGGTCGGTACGCGGCGTCGTTCGCATTCTGCCCATCGACCACTCGGGCCATCTTGATCATGGCCGCGCCGAGCTGCTCGTCGGTGACGACGCCGTGGCGGAGCCAGCTGGCGAGCAGCTGCGACGAGATGCGCAGGGTGGCGCGGTCTTCCATGAGCTGGACGCCCAGGAGATCCGGCACCTTCGAGCAGCCGACGCCCTGCTCCACCCAGCGGGCCACGTACCCCAGAATCGATTGGCAGCTCTCTTCCAGCTCCTGCTGGACCTCCGCCGCCGACGGGCGCTCGGCCGCCGACATCACCGGCGGGCAAAGGATGGCGGCCAGGAGCGCCTCGCGCGGCGGATGCCTCGCGTCACGCTGCGCCTGCGCCACGTCCACCTCGTGGTAGTGCAGCGCGTGCACCACCGCCGCCTGCGGTGAGGGCACCCACGCGCAGCTGGCGCCAGAGCTCGGGTGGGCGCCCTTGGTCTTCAGGAGGCCCGCCATGTTGTCCGGCTGCGCCCACATCCCCTTGCCGATCTGGGCGCGACCCGGGAGGTTCGCCTGGAGGCCGCACAGAACGTTCTGGCTCTCGTAGGCCTGGAAGAACGGCTGGGCCTTGAGGCGCTCCTTCGGGAATGCCGGGCCCATGGCCATGCTGGTGTGGATCTCGTCGCCGACGCGGTCCATGAAGCCAGTGTTGATGAAGCAGACGCGATGAGCCGCTGCACCGATGCACGCTGCGAGGTTTGCGGTTGTGCGCCGCTCCTCGTCCATGATACCGATCTTGACCGTCAGAGGTGGGAGGCCAAGCGCGCGCTCCACGAACTCGAACATCTCTGTCACCATGGCAACTTCCTCTGGGCCATGCATCTTCGGCTTCACCACGTAGACGCTGCCTGACTGCGAGTTTCGCTGCTCGTCCGGGCGTGCGAGGTCGTGCTTTGCGCACAGCGCGGTGGCCATTGCGTCCACGAAGTGCTCGGGCACCTCGTGACCGTCCACCGTCACCATGTCGGTGTACATGGACAGGCCGACGTTGCGAACCATGGCGAGGGTGCGGCCCGGCAGTGTGAAGCGCACGCGGCCGTCCGGGGAGAGGTAGGGCCCCCGCGGCCCCGCGATCTCCCGCACCTTCCCGCCACCGAGGTCCGCCTGCAGGTCGCCGCGCATGACGCTGGCTAGGTTCCTGTAGCAGACCGCCTTGTCCTCCGCGTCCACCACGGCGACCGAGTCCTCCATGTCCAGGATCGCCGTGAGGGCGGCCTCAACGATCACGTCGCTCACGCCTGCATGATGGAGCCTCCCCAGCTTTGTGGTGCCGTCGAGCACCAGCTCGACGTGCAGCCCGTTGTGGTACAGCAGCACGCGGCTGGGCGCAGATGCCCTGCCGGTGTAGCCCACGAGTTGCGAGGGGTCCTCCAGGCTGCAGGCGGGCATGCATGGGAAGTCTACGCACAGACGCCCATCGCGGATCTCGAGGCCCGTCACGTCCTTAGAGGCCTCCCAGATGGGGTCCGAGTAGATGGAGTCGAAGGATTGTGCCGCATCGCCATTGCATCAACGACGTTGGCGATGCAGCGGTGACGTCGGCGTGGGGAAACATGGGCTCCACATCGAGCCGCATCGGCGATGCGGCGCGATCCTCCGAGCCCATCTACTCGGACCCCATCTAGGAGGCCTAGACGTCCTCCCACTGCCTCGGGGAGGCTGGGCTGCCCAGCGGGAAGTGCTTGGACAGGAAGGCGTCCACGAACACGAAGGTGTCCTCTGCGGGAGAAGGGAGGGAGATGCGGTGAGACGAGGGGGAGGAGGAGGAGGAGGAGGAGGAGGAGGAGGAGGAGGAGGAGGAGGAGGAGGAGGAAGGAGGAGGAGGAGGAGGAGGAGGAGGAGGAGGAGGAGGAGGAGGGAGGATGAGGAGGAGGAGGAGGGAAAGCAAGGAGGAGGGAGGAGAAGGAGGAGGTCCAGGGCCCGGGCTCTCGCCCACGGCCCCGACGGCGAGCCCCCGAGGATATTGGAGGCGTAGACGGCGTCGAAGAGGGAGCCCCAGCGGGCGTTGCAGGAGTTGAGCACGAAGCGCGCCTTCGTCTTGGGTCGAGCAATGTCCTCCTACAGGCGGGTGCTGGAAGGAAAAATCCCAAAATGGCCAGCAAGTCATCAAACATCAGCTAGCGTTGACTCCAAATCAAAAGTGGGTGATGATGGTGATGATGAGGATGATGATGACGATGAGGACAATCCTGTTCTCCACACGCGCATAGGCATAGGCATAGGCATAGCCATAGGAATTAGGGGGGGCGTGGGAATTGGGGGGGGCAACGGACCAATTAGTAGGGTTTGAATCAGAACTCCTGTAGGGCAAACCTATTTGGAGAACCTGGCCAAAAAGAGAGCACAGAAAATCGTCCCAATCAAATGTACTGCCTATTCTTGAACATGCCTCCTGTAGAGGGGCACGCCCGACGCAAGCCTTATCGATGGGGCACACGAGCTGGGGCCCGGCCACGGCCCCGATCTCGCGGTCCACGCTCGGGGTGCTCGCCTCGGCCGGGGGCGCCTGCGGCTGCAGGTAGCCGATGCGGCGGAGGAAGTCGACGTACTCGCGGTTCTCGCCCAGCGTCGCCGCAGACGCCTCTGGGTGCTCTGCGTGCCACCTGTCGATGCTCCTCTGCATGTCCTCGCGCCGCTGCAGCAGCTGGGCGTTGCGCGGCCCGAACTGCTTGGTGAGCCGGTGGAGGCCGGTCCAGAAGGCCCTCTCCGTGCCCTCCTCGAGGCCGACGCAGATGCTCCTGATCGCAGCTGCGAGCGCGGGCTCGGCGCGCAAGGCCTTGGCAGCGGCGGGCGCGGTCGGTGCCTCGGGGGCGGGTGCGCTGCGGGGGGCGAGGGACATGCCGGGTGCTCTGTCCTGGTACTGGTGTGGGCGTAGTTGGGTTACCTGAGCTGGTCGCCGAGGCTGAAACTGCTTGAGCCAAGATGCCGCAGAGAGGTGGGGTGTGGAGCTCCAGTCGTGACTTCTCATACCTTTTTACTACATGCGTCGTCAATCCAAACACTCCTCCTCCATGTCGGCCTCCGGGGCCCGTTGTTCTGCCCCAGAGGCATCAACAATGGGTCCGGGCATCAAAAACAGAGGAACAAAAATCGGCGAAACCATAATTTTTTGGCGCTCCGCGCGGATGTCTTGGATCCGCGCCGGGGGCGGCGCTGGAGGCGCCTCGGGGGGGGGGGGGCCGGCGCAGATCCAAGAGATCCGCGCAGAGCGCCGAAAGTTTATACTTATGCTGTTTCTTATTATACTTCTTCTCATTCTTATTCTTATATTATTATTCGTCTTCGTCTTCTTCGAAGAACATGCATTCGTGTCTTATGTTTATTCTTCTTAGTCTTCTCCGTTTCTTCTTATTATTATTCTTCTTACGATTGGTATCAATAGTACTCCTCTTCTTCTTCTTCGAAGAACACTGGCCTCTGGGGCCGCGCAGGGAGAAAGCTCGCATCGGCGAAGATCCAGGTCCGCCGGCCGCCCCGCCAATCCTGGGCCCCTCGACCCCGCCGAGGGGCGGTGAGCGGGTCGTCCCGGAGGTCCGCCGCCGGGGCAGATTTTGCTCTGGACGCCCGAAATGGGTACGGAAAGGAGGGGCACAATGCCCAGCAGCAAATGTCGTCCCGAATCAGCAGCGGCCGCTGTTCGGCAGGCGGCCTTCTATCTCAAACGGACACATCTTGGCCGCGATGAGCTCAGCGGGGCTTCTGATGGGTCCGCTCCTGCTCGCTGTTTTTTGCTTCCGCCGGCGCGTAGCCCGCCCGTCCTGCACGGCTTTCGACTTGCTTCGCGAGCCCGCGTACCAAAAACAAAAATAAAAAAATCGCGACCAGAGCCCCGCCTGCGAATTCTGGGAAGCCTTGGACCGCTACGAAAAAAACCCTTTCTCTGCAGTGATTCCAGGTCTCCCACGGTTCCAATACCTATCATGTAGTTCGCCGAACGGCTGCTGCCCCCTCGACCCCATCCTTCAGAACCACTCACTGTTCGAGCCGGGTCGAGCTGTGACGGACACGGAGTCCGACATCTGAGAGCGTCGCCCGCAGAACCCGGCGAAGGAGCATCCGCTGTGCTAGAGGCCTCCTAGATGGGGCCCGAGCAGATTTAGGTCGGGCATGTCCCCCTACAGACGGAGCTTGGGCGAAAAAATACTCCAAAAATACCCCCAATCCAAAACTCGTCCCCAGGCTATTGTTTAAATGTTTTTGCATATTCCTCCTGTAGAGGACATGCCCGATTTAAGAGTAGATGGTGTCGGAGGGTCGTGCCGCATCGCCAACGCATCGGCGATGCATCGGCGATACCTGGTCGACGTCGGCGACGCATCGGCGACGTCGGCGTGGAGAACATCGGGCTCCGCATCGAGCCGCATCGGCGCTGCATCGGCGATGCGGCGCGATCCTCCGATCCCACCTACTCCGACACCGTCTAGGAGGCCTCGATTTAGGTCGGGCCTGTCCCCCTACACGCGGATTTTGGAGACAAAATAAAAACATACACCAACAATACTCCAAACATACTCGAAAATGGTGAGAAAATGATCCCCTGACACCCACGGTATTTTTGAACTATTGTTGACACTTCGGACTATTGTTTGACTAGTTTGGGGATGTGTTTACTATGTTTTGGCTATTGTTTGACTGTGTCTTGACTATTCTTGAAATTTTCCCCCTGTAGAGGGACAGGTCCGACTCAAAAGCCTCGATGTGCAGAACAAAAAACGCCGTCACGGCTGGAGCTGCCGGGGGCCGACGCCCCACCCACCCACCCGCGACGTACGGCGGTGAAGCGGTGCGCGCCCCAGGGCCCCCTCTGCGCGCCGTGGCGAGAAGAACCACGGCGGGGGAGGGCCCCTCCGAGACCGGACGCTGCGAGACGAAAAGCTGCAGTATCTCGTGCAACATTGCGCCCAGGGAGGAGGAGGAGGAGGAGGAGGAGGAGGAGGAGGAGGAGGAGGAGAATGGCAAAGGGCATGGTAGAAACTCGGCTCACAAGTAGACGATTTTCCTGGGGCCCCCTGGCGCCGGGAGGCGCCCATGCGTCGAGGAGCGGGCCCCGCGGCGGGGCGGGAAGCCAGCTGCACGCAGAAGAGCTCGCAACCCCCTGGACCCCGTCTTCCTGCGCCACTGCCTCGCGCTGGGTCGATCTGTGGGAGGGCCCCGGGGCCCCAAAAGACAGGCGAGGGACCGCCCGGCTCGACAAAGCTGAGCCGCCAGGATCTCAGCGGGGGGGTACCTGTTCCTCCTCTGAGTTTGGCTCCCGCCGCCAGCCGCCGGCCCTCTCTCCGCCGCCGCACTCCGCCGAGGAGGAGGGCGACTCTCTCGGCACTGGGGTCGACCAATAGGCGCACCCAGCGGTGGCGACGAGGGCCTCCCAGGAGGCCCAAGAGAGGGGGAAGACGAGGGGAGGGTATGCAGCATCCTCCTCCTCCTCCTCCTCCTCCTCCTCCTCCTCCTCCTGCATCTCCTCCTCCCTCCCTCATCATCCTCATCTCATCATCATCCTCCTCCTCCTCCTCCTCCTCCTCCTCATCATCATCATCATCATCATCATCAGCATCAGCATCAGCATCATCATCATCATCATCATCATAATCATCATCATCATCATCATCATCATCATCATCATCATCATCATCATCATCATCATCATCATCATCATCATCATCATCATCATCATCATCATTCTCCCTCCTCTGAACTTCGCCCTCGGGCCGCTCTCGGGCTGCTCGCTTTAGGGGCCCGTCGCCGGGCGGCTCGGGGGTGAAGCACTGGCCCCTCCTCCTCCTCCTCCTCCTCCTCCTCCTTCTCCTCCTCCTCCTCCTCCCTTCTCCTCTCCTCCTGCCTCCCTCCTCTCCTCCTCCTCCTCCTCCTCCTCCTCCTCCTCCTCCTCGGAGCCCACGCCATGAGAAGCTCACGACGCCGGGGACCTGGGCACCACGAGGTTGTTGGGCGAGGGGGGCGGCCTGCTGCAGGAAGGCAACCCTGCCTTCCGGAGGTGCCCTCTCTCTGGAGCACGAGAGAGCGACGCTCGTGCTCTGTCCCGTGGTCGCACTCTCTCCCTCTGCAAGCCCCGCTCCAGCGCGGTAGTTATACGATGGACAGGTCTTCGGCTCTGAGGGCCGGGAAACTGTGCACTGTTCGTACGCCTCCTGGGTCGAGGATCGACGACGCCTCAGGAGACGCCAACGCAGCACGGTGCCCACGAGTCGTCCGCGGACGGAGGCCTCCTCGAAGGAGGGCGGATCCCCTCGGAGAGGCCCTCCCCTGCCTTCCCGCGGCACGCGGGGAGAAGCGCTTCGGAGCGAGGGGCGCCCAGGCAAGAACGAGAGGTGGGACACACGAAGCTTGGTGGACCCTCTGAGCCCCAAGCGTCTGGCCCAACAAGGCGCGCGTCCCTCAGACCCGACGTCGCGAAAAACCCGACACATTGCGACACAAATCACGACTGGAGCCCGAGACCCCGTCTTCCTGCGCCGCCTCTCGAGCCGCATCGATCTGGGAGGGCCCCGGGGCCCAAAGCCCAGCGAAAACGCCGGCTGTGACAAGACCGAGACGCCCAGATCTCAGGGAACGGCCCACCGCGGCATCACCAGCATGGCCAGGCTCAGCCGGAAGAGTGCCCGTGCCGAGCCGATCTGCAGAAGGCCGCCTCCATCCGCCCCTGCCCTTCGCCGCCCCCCCGCCTCGTGCGCCGCCGGATTTGGGCGCGTGGCCCTGCGCCGCGCGCCGAAGACGCGCGCGAGGCTCCCCTCGAGCCCCGGCGGCCGCCTGAGCCCAGACGGCGACGCCGAGGAGGGCCGCGGTCGGAGCCCCCCGGCTGCACGCGAGAGCGGCCCCCCTTGAGATCCGGGCGCTGCAAAGTGTGCACCGGGTGTTGCTAGAAGTGCCCCCTGGCCCAAGGTGCCCCCAGCTTTTCGCTCCATTTTTGGAACCCCTGGGACCCCCTGGGCCTCGTGAGGGGTGGCCTGGAGGTCGCCTGGGCCACCCCGCTTCAAGATGGGCGCTCTGGCAGGGTCTCGGGCGGCCCCAGGGGCCTCACCGATCGATGCGGCTCGAGGAATGGCGCAGAGAGACGGGGTCTGGGGTTCCAGTCGACGTTGTGCTTCGCTGTCGCAACTCTTCTCGCGCAGCGTCGGATCGCAGGGCCTCCGGCTGCACGCGAACGACCCTGTGGGGCAAGAAGTGGACGCTGATGTGCGACCCTCTCGCGTCATAGAGTATAATGTTGTTTTCCAACACACAAACAAAAAAAACGGCATAACCATAAACTGTTGGAGCTTCGCGCGGATTTCTTGGACCCGCGCCGGAACCTCCCTCCCCTGCGCGCGGAGCGCGCCAGGGGCGGCGCCGGAGGCGCCTCCAGGCGGGCCCAGCGCAGATCCAAGAGATCCGCGCGGAGCGCCAAAAGTTTGTGGTTACGCCGTCCTTTCTTCGTCGGCGGAAGAGCGCGCAACGGCAAATCTGGACCACTCTCCGCCCCCAAAACTCTCCAAGAGGCTTCCGCAAAAAAAGCTCCCAAGAGACATCCAAGGAGACTCGAGAGGCAACTCGCCCGGGCATCCTTTCTGGATGGGCTGGTGGGGGTACTTTTTGTCGCAGCTGCAGGCCAAGGGGCCGACAGCGCCAGCAGAGTTAGCTCGGGCTACGAGTAACCTAATTGCTGGCGCGCGCGCCGAGCAAGGCAGGCAAGACCTACCGCCGAGGGAAGCAGCTGCGCCGAGGCTGAGCTGCGCCGAGGGGGGGAAGCTGCCAGCTGCGGAGGCGGCTTGGATGCTGCAACGTGCGAGTATCATGGGAGCTGAAACACCAGGCACGAGAATTAGGCCTCGTCGCCAAACTGGTGGGGGTACTTTTTGGTCGGCGACTCCGAGGCGGCGGACAGGGAGCGGTAGGCCTCGTCTGGGCCAGCAGGCGAAGCTAATTAGGCAAACTGGTGGGGGTACGCGAAGCGTCAAGGATTTGGACCACTCTCGGCACCCGGGGGGGCATCCGGGGGGGGCCCTCCGTCAGGCTGCGGAGCCCGTCGAGAGAGGCGTCTCTCGCAGGGCGAGGAGGCCGGGCGCAGGAGAAGGGGTCGAACGGCCTGCGGGGATCCACGCTGTGAAAGAGGGATGGCGACGTCGGGACACCCTGGGCACGAGCGTTCACCACATCGGGATGCCCCTGCCATCGTCTTTCCCGAAGGAGGGGCGCGACATTGCCCTATTGTGGACCACCCTAACCCGAAGACCCAAATTTCGGGGTGGGGGGGCTACGGGTCCCACGCGTGTTTTTGTTGATGTTCCCGGGCCCCCCCCCACTGGAAATCGAGGGCCAATCCGGGCCTTCGGGTTGTGTTGGAGTGGTTTGGTGGGTGGGTGAATTGCGCTCTCCCCAGGGGGGGGGGGGGGGGCTTCCTTGTTTGTGAAGACAGCACACCAAAAAAATAAGTGTTAAAAAACACTGCAAATGATGGTAGTTCGTGAGAGGCCTTCCTCGGACTCCTCGGTCTTGGGTCCCTCGGCTCCTCGAGCTCGGGCTCCTCGGCTCTTCCTCGGGCTTTCCTCGGGTCACTCGCCTGGGTTTCTCGTCTGGGCTCCTCGCTTGGGATCCTCGGGGGTCCTATCCTCGCTTGGGTCCCTGGGGGGGGTTGCTCGACAAGCAGCGCCAAGCAACGAGAAGCAACGCCACGAAGTGCCAAGCATAGCCCTACGGCGCAAAGCGCTGACAAGCGGACCGACAAGTGACCGGAGGCAACTGCCCCGACGTCCGACGATGCGACTGCTCAAGGCGCGGCCCCAGGACCCAGGAGGTCCCGAGCGCTTCCCCAGGGGCAGCTTTCGCCCTGCGCCAATGCATGACTGTCCTGGGGCCCGACAAACTGGCCCCGGGGGCCGACGTCGAGGAAAAACGACGGGATCGGAAAAAAACTGCAGGCCTCCCAGATGGGGTCCGAGCAGATGCGGTCGGAGGATCGCGCCGCATCGTCGATGCATCGCCGACGCATCGGCGATACATCGGCGACGTCGAAGGTGCTTCTACGCCTCAGGCGTGGAAAGAACCTGCCTCCACATCGAGTCGCCTTGCCGATGCATCGGCGATGCGGCGTGATCCTCCGACCCCGTCTGCTTGGACACCATTTGGGAGGACTGCAGTGGGCGAACCGAAGACACCAACAAAACAAAAGTACCCAAGACGTACCCAGCCCTTTCTAAACGCAAGGCGACTTCTGCTTGGAGCAATCAAAACGAAATTAGAGACACTCCCCCCCCCCCCGAGAGCCGCGAGGTCATCGGGACGTGCGCCAGACATCGAGAAGGGGCGACGGCTGCGCGGGTGGCAGCCCCCAAAACGGAGCCGTGCGAGAGCGCGGCTCCTGGACGTCAAAAGCGCGAGCGCCTCCTCGGATTGCCAGGGGGGTCCTTGACGAAGGCGCGATTCCCGGGCGAGTTGTGAGGAAGCCTCGAACGCGAGCGCGATTTGGAATAAACTGCGGGGAGAGTATGAGGCGGGAGCCGTTGTTGATGTAAGCGGGGGACCAAGAGCACAGTCTGAGCCTCAAGACTGCTCCCTGACACAAGCCAGGTGGGAGTCCCATGGCAAACACGTCAATTCAAAAGAACACGATGGGCACGGGAGGGGGCGGATCAACGATGACAACTCTTCCCCCAAGAGATGGCCAGGAAGCCCCAAGAGGCCCCCAGGATGCCCCCAAGAGGCTCCCAAGAGACCCCCAAGAGACCCCAAGAGACCCCCCCAGAGGCACCCAAGATGCTCCAAGAGGAGGCCTCGGCGAGAATGCCAAATCATTGATTCTACTAAGGTTTTAGCCACATGTTGGCCTCTTTGGGGGGGCACTGATTAAGATGACTCCAAGAGCGCCTGGGAGAGCCCAAGATGACCTCCAAGATGGCTCGAGATATCCCAAGATGTCTCATAATGGCTTCCTCTGTGTGCTGCCCACTTCCCTGATCGAGGCAATTCCTCTGGGCATCGTTTCTGGATGGGCTGGTGGGGATTCGCGAAGCGTCAACAATTGCATGAAGTCACCGGCGAAATCACAATTCCTGAATAAAATGTGAAGGGTTCTCTGGCGGGAGCGGGGGTCTTGATTAAATTGCGAGGAAGTCTTGACTCGATTGCAAGGAAATCTCAAGCGGGAGCGCCGTTCCTGAGTAAATTGTGAGGAAATCTCAAATGCGAGCGGGGGTCCTGACTAAATTGCGAAGGAGTCGCAAGCGGGAGCACCGATCCTGAGTAAATTGTGAGGAAGTCTCAGGAGAGGGGGTCCTGAATAAATTTGGAGGAAGTCTCAGGCGGGAGCCGTTGTTGTTGTAATCCGCGGGGCCAGGGGCACAGTTTGAGCACGAAGACTTTCCCTGTCAAAAAACAGGGTGCGAGCGTCGAGGGGCACACTTTGACTGAGAAAAGACAATATGCACCGGTGAGGGGGATCAACAATAATTATTTCTGAATAATTTAACAACAACAACAACAACAACAACAACAACAACAAAAACAACAACAACAACAACAACAACAACAACAACAACAACAACAACAACAACAACAACAACAACAACAACAACAATCACAACAACAACAACAACAGCAATATTGTTAAGACTGTTTGCTCTTATCTGCTCGCGTGTCATTCAATATGCATATCCCAAATCCTGGATACCCGCCCTCTTCGTCTTCGATCGTACCCCCTTTTGGGGAGTATATGTATTCCCTGCCACGTGTGGTTGGTGAAGCCCTTGAAAACGAAGGGTCGCAGATAACGAGAGCGCGATTCTTCAATCAATTGTGAGGAAGTATCAAGCGGGAGTCGCGATCCTGTGGTAAATTGCAAGGACGTCCCAAGCGAGAGCGCGATTCTTCAATAAATTGTGAGGAAATATCAGGCGGGAGCCGTTGTTGTTGTTGTGAACCAGGGGCCAAGAACGCAGTCTGACCATCAAGACTTTCCCTGATAAAGAACAGGGTGCGAGCCCCGGGAAGGGCACTTTCAATCGAAAAAAACAATGTGCACCGGACGGGGGGGATCAACAACAACAACAACAACAACAACAACAACAGCAGCAGCAGCAACAACAACAACAACCACAACAACAACAGCAGCAGCAGCAACAACAACAACAAGAACAACCACAACAAAAACACTGAAAAAAACAAAACAAAAAAACAAAAGTAACTCGCCCACGGAGCGGCGGCGGCACCTGTCCCGGGACTCGGAGCTCTCGCCGCGCTCCCGCCGCCGCCCGCGCGCGGGCTCCGCGCCGCCGCCGGGCCCCTGGCCAGGCATCGGCCCCGCCCCCCGCAGCGCCGGG